CGCGGCTGGTGTACCTGGTTCGTTTTACGAACGCCAGTTCCCGAAGGACTCGCTTCATTTTGCTCATTCATCGTGTACACTCAATTGGCTTTCTGTGATGCCTCAAGAGATACTAGATAACTCTTCTCCCGCATGGAATCAAGGAAAAATTACATATTCTGGAGAGAAAAAGGAAGTGTTAAAAGCTTATGCACTTCAGTATGCTAAGGATTTGGATTCTTTTTTTAAAGCAAGGGCACAAGAGTTGGTTTGTGGAGGCTTAATGGCAATTCTTGTTCCAACTGTGCCTAACCCTAATAGTGATTTATCCAGTATCACTTTCCCTTCATACGATCTTCTGGGGACTTGTCTTATTGAGTTGGCCGAGAGGGTACTATGAAGATCTGAACTGGATATTACATAGTAATTTATCGAAGAATTCATTAATGTTCTTTCTTGTTGCAGGGACGATTCGATGCAGCCAAAGTAGACTCGTTCAATTTGCCTGTATATTACACATATCCAAATGAACTGAAGGCCATAATTGAGAAAAATCAAGATTTCAGTATTGAAAGAATAGAGGTACTAAACGTCCGGAGCAAGCATCAAACTGATCCTGACCCCAAAGCTTTTTCCCTGGCCAAAAGAGCTGTGTTCGAGGGACTATTACAGGAACATTTTGGAAATGAATTCATGGATGAACTGTTCGACCTATACGCAGAAAAAATCGAAGAAACTGCAGTTCCATCGAATCCTAAAGAGACATCTATGATCACATTTGTCCTCGTAAAACGTGTTTTTAGAATGACTTAATCTCGTAGTACCTACAGAGTCAAATCATGGTTCTCTCCACCAATTTTCTTTTCTTCTTTTGCGTTTCTCTTTGAATTTCAGTGTGATTACTATTTTCTTTTGCTGCCCTTACTGGAAAATAAAACTCGGTCTCAACGAAGATGCTTTGTATCTTGATCTTAAAATATGTAATTTATTGTAATTAAATTACATCAATATGTGGAGAGTGGTTGCAATAGTGCTTAATAATCTACTTGGGCCTTATTAATAATTAAATGATTATATTTTGTTCTTTAGACTATTTGAATTTTAATGGGTAGCCAATTTTTTGTACGGGCGTTTTACGTCAAGCAATACATGGAGTACTTCCAATATAATAGTAAAAGCAAGACGTGTAGGTGGATCAACTGATCAAGCTCCCATTGAAATAGGACCCACACAAGGAAAATACTTACCATTCATTGGTTATTAGCTACATTCCCAAAATGTCCAAAAGAAATAAGTGTGGAGAATCCTGAAGTATCTGAAAATCCGAATTTAGAGTTATGATGTGAAGCTCTTTAATGTAATAAAGAGTTAGATATGGTTGAGTTCTTGAAGAAGATGATGTCTGGATGCTGGTTATTATTTCCCACTTTTCCGAGATAATAATACCTTCGAGTTTCCATATTCCGGAGTACGTTAATGTCCTACATCTTTAGTTTAAAAAATGACTTTGATAACCCTGGTCTCTCCACAATAAAGGCTATAATACCTCGTGATCAAGCAGTCACTAGCTCAGTCCTTATGGTTAAGCAAATTTTGATTTTCTTAGGTAAGTAAACTATGTTACGTGCATATATGTATAATATGTAAGATGTTGACAGAAACTTACATTACGTGCCTTATATGAAAATATCATGCGAGTGTGCTATGTGATTTATGTGTGTACAGTGTACATGGTACTCATTTACAAGTTATATCTATGAGTGGAGTATGTTCTATTCTTCTTTTATGCCTTTAAATTATGATAAATGGTTACTTGCCTAACATGCAATTAGATCAGTTCATATGGATATGCCCCCCGGAACAAAATCCAGTGGTGGAAAAAACAGGAGTGAGGTTATCTCACATNGGCACGAGCACCTGGGGGCTCATTCATTTGACCATAGACTAGAGCACATTTGCTATCAGCCTGATAAATAATTATTAGATGAGATATGTTCAAACTAGAGAGAGAAAATATAAACTTAATAGAACAATTGACAAAATTAAAAAAATACTGACCTGCTTATCACCTAGCTTAATGACACCGCTCTCAATCATTTCTCTGTACAAATCATTACCCTCTCGAGTTCGTTCTCCTACACCAGCAAAGACAGAGAAACCACCTGACAAGGAAAACAAACAACAGCACAAGTCAGAGATTTAAGCAACGTAGGGCTCTAAAAGAAATAATGCATAATATCAAAAACTAACCATGAGCTTTTGCAACATTGTTAATCAGCTCCATGATAAGTACAGTCTTTCCTACACCAGCACCACCAAATAACCCAATCTTTCCTCCTCTTTGGTATGGTGCAAGAAGGTCTACGACCTTGTGTAACAAATCAATACAAAAAATTGGTGACCAACATAAAATGACATGAACTTCCAAAGTATAATAAATAAGAAGTGAATGCGAATGGATCCATCAAGTACAGATTGGACTTCTGAGAAAGTACCTTGATACCAGTGACAAGAATTTGCTGTTCAGTTGCTTGCTCCACAAAGGCTGGAGCTTCACGATGAATTGGTAAATAGTGATCGGTTTCTGCAGCACCATTCATTTGTTAGAAAAGACACAAGCCTTCTTCAGACACTTTAAGGATGTTTCGATCATTCAGAAGCAACAGCACTTACTCATATCGCCTTTCTCATCAATAGGCTCTCCAATGACATTCATAATGCGGCCGAGGGTTGCTCTGCCCACAGGCACCTTCGATCAAATGAAGAGAAACAAAAATCATCACGAAAAATAAAACTCTTATAGTACATAATCATAAACAGCTTCAGAAATCAAAGTAGGAATATTTTGAATAATTTTCAACCATCACAACCAGAAAGTCAAGCCACACTTGAGGCTTACAAAATCAAGTCTTCAAACTGTTTGGAAAAGAAAAGCAAACGGAATGTTCAAGACTAAAACGGACATCAGATGTATCTTTAAAAACACCTTAATTAATGAAGACAAGAACTCACCCCCATAAGACCTCAACAAAAGCAACAAAGATTACCCACTCAATTAAAATCAAACCATTTTAGAGATGCAGAAGCCAATCAAAATCCTGTCATTGATTTCAAAAGCAAATGCAAATGTCATTTGAAAAGTGTTGCAACTTGACAGATAATACCATCCTTAAGTAATATAACCCTAGTTTTAAGCTTTATGACGAGTGTGTTTTACTCACGAGTTTTATACTAATTTAACTTGATTATTGGCTAGATCTTATGTGTATTGAACATTTGTAATGTGTTTATTAGTGTTGTTTTATAGGTATGGTGAGTAAAACCTATACCCCGGAGAGGTGGCGCCGGCCCCTAGGCGCCACTAGAAGCCAGGAAGGCAAAGATGGTCATACAGGAGTGTAAGCAATTCGATTTTACTGATTTTTTACAGATTTTCAAACCAAACTGTTTAAACCGGTTTGAGAAAAATTCAAGCCTAAACCAAACCATTTTGAACGGTTTGAAAAACACCAAAACCTAAACCTAATAGTTTGATTTGGTTTTAAACCGCCGGTTTTGCCATATATTTTTTTTGCCTGTCTACTTTTATGTCATTATTTCATTGAATTCAATACATATTTATATCTTACTAGCAATAAATCTAAAACAAACTAAGCCTGTGTTTAAACCAAATTTTTAGGAAAAAAATGAAAATTTGGATCGATATCTCACAAGTTCAGCCGTTTTTGTTGACCTGCTGTTTCATGTGTGGGACCCAACCTCCTCTCCAACCGTCAATTTTTTCATTATGATGATATGAAAAATATAGCTCAAATAGGGGCTAAATATATCTACTATAAATTTAAATACCAACTAAATCAAAGTGAAATCAAAATAAACTAAAACATAGTTTTTTTCATTTTTGTTCAATTTTTTTTAGGCTAATAACGATACAATAACGTTACAATACAAGTCTACTAAACTAAATATAAGGCCCAAAAAAATAATGATGTCCTACAAGATCTCGTGATAATCATATCTAAAAAAAATGATACTGATTAGACAAAAAGAATAACCAACCACAATAAAGTAATTGTTTATAATATATAAACATAACAATTACACAAGTTTACATCTGTATGATGTTACGAAACACATTTAATTTCAGATTCTTATCTTAATTTGCTCCAAAAAAATTTATTGATCTGAAACTTTATTCGTAGCAAATATTATCACCAAATGTCTAGGATCTCTATCTCCGATTTGGTATAATGGACTTCAATTCAACTTTAAAGAGGCGTGAAAAATCTAAAAAAGAAGTGTATAGTACCGATGGCTCAAGACTGTGTTAGATGTCGACTAGAGTTCATCTAAATTCTGAAAAGGAAAAGGGCTTTTGATAGATTATGTTAATCTTGAGATTATTAGATATAAATTAAGATTATTGGATAATAATAATATATCTATATTAGAAAATTAGAAATTGACAAAAATACCCACAAATGACAAAACCATTAAACTTTACACATTTTAATGAATTTTCAAAAAAATTCATTTTTTTCATTTTTTTTCATTTTTATATATTTTTTCGTCGGTCTGGTTTGGTCTTAAATTGCAATTAAAATTCTCAAACCTAAACCAAACCAAACCATTTTGACCGGTTTGGTTTGGTCCAAAACCATTTCGTTGACTGGGTCCACGCGACACCAAACCGACGATTTCTAAAATGTTATTTCGATTCGATTTTTCAATTTTTGCTTACAGCCCTCCCCGGCTTCGAGGTGCCACCTAGGACTTTGAGCTCAGCGCCACTCCTATCGAAGCGCCTCCTATTGTATTTAGGGCATGGAATTTTAGCCCTTTCGAATCCCATGAAAACTCCAAATCTAGGGAGGAGACACTTAATGTAAGGTTCCACACATTGAGAATCAAAGAACACAAGTTGAGATTTATGAGAGCAAATTAAAAGAGAAAAACATCAAAATAATCAAGGGTTTAAAGAATTGATTGGAAGAAGAAGCAGAAGATCTTGGTGCAAGATTCGTCCCTTTTCCTACGTCTTTATTTAAAATCTGATATTGTATTTAATAAAAATCTGCTGTTTTTCTTTTTATATTACGAGTAGCTAAATCATATATTAGATTGAACAATGTAAGCTATATGAGACCATTTACTTCTTTTATTCAAAGTTCTAGTTCTTTCATCATATATGCTGACTTTATTCATGAATTTAATGCTTTGAATTACCTGATCAACAATTCAATGATTTGGTGATTCTTTTACGAATGAGGTGAATTTTAGATTTAGAATACATAGTAAAATTCAATAATTTAGTATAACGTGTAGATATACTTATGTTAATTATTGCAATCGTTATATGAATTCTTAGAACAAATATTGCGTTTAACTAAGATTGATTCACATAGAGATATAAAATTGAATTAGTTAAATAGGCTTAATAAGAACTCAAGATGGGTAAATTGAATGCGGTAGAAGAATTTTTTTCGAAAACTACATGAGATTTGTGAATCTTAATCTGAGACTTAAAAGTAATCAACGGATGAAATTTTTATGCCCTAATATCTCATTCCATATTTGAATCCTAAATCGATCTTTGTATGCATATTGTTATTTTCAATTAGTTATATATCGTTAGAAAAACAACCACAACAATTATATTCGTTCTCATTCATCAAATAGGAGTTAAAATAATAGATTAGGATTAAATTATAGTCCTCGTCAAAACAATTACCCACACTCAAATATCCACTACATTACTTGTTACGCACTTTACTTCACAAAATTTGAAAGCTCAAAATCCAACACCCATCCACAACAGGTATAAAAATTCAGTCTTCACAATATTAAATAAAAGAATTCAAAAATGCCAATATCCCAATAAATCAAATTCTTAAGAATCAATATCCCAAATCAAATCGAAACGGCTAAAACCCACATCAAAGTCTGGATCTAAACCTACATATCGCCCAAACCATAGAAACTCCAACCTCTTTCCCTAAAAACTAATCAAAAGCACTGATTTTTAAAAAATAAAATTAAAATATAAAGACCCTTTCCAAAAACAATATCAATTCAAGAGAACAGATAGTCTTTAAGAAAATATACACAAATTGATAAGATAAATCTAAAACGACTCACGGTGATTGGGGAGCCAGTATTGAGCACGCGCTGGCCTCTGACAAGACCTTCAGTACCATCCATAGCAATACACCTGACCACATTCTCACCCAAGTGCTGGGCAACCTCCAAAACAAGCCTGATCTGATTGTCCAATACCTCCAAGGCCGTTAAAATCGGAGGCAAACCCTCATCAAACCTCACATCAACTACGGCACCGATAACCTGGCACACCTTTCCGACGGCGCCTTTCCCGGTAAATTCATCTGTGATCTTCCCACTGGGACCTCCACCGGGAGCTTTAGGAGGGCTTGGAGAAGAGGAGGCCACAGAGGTGGAGTACCCTACGACGCGGTGGAGGAAGTAGCCGACTGGAGATGGCCGGTGCTTGGGTTTTGGGGCGGAGTTCCAAGCTCTTGATATAGAGCTACGGGAGGCGGAGGAGCGGAGTAACGAGGCTAAGAGCCTCCGCGAAGCCATATCTGTGATGTAATGATGTTTTAGAGAAAGTGTACGCAAATGAAAAGCAGAATGATAGGGTTAAACGGGGAAATGGTTATTGGGAGGTATAATCGAGACTGCGAGTGTGCTCTGTTCACTGTCGGATAAATTTTGGGAAAAATTGCAGCATTGGTCCCCAGTGTAAGACTTTGAAGAAAATCAGTCACAACCTATTTTCTCGTCCAATCTGCAACGCAGCTACCTATAGTAAGTAGGAAAGAACATCTTTTTGTCCTTGCCTGCAAACTTCTAATTTGACGAAATAGCATAAATAAAGTCCTCCGCCTACACTACTGGCAGGAAAGAAGGGCGAACAAAGGGACTCAAAAAGATAGGTTAGCGACCGGGTGAAAGGTTGGAATTGATAGAGAAGGGCTTGGGGTCCTTCGCATTATTATTGAAGAGTAATTTTTTGCCACGACTCTATTTGCGATAAGAGAAAATAAAAATTTAGAATCACTTACTTCAATCAATCTCACCCACTTTATACCTCGCAAATCACCACCAAATTGCAAACTAATGCCTCAATTTGGTTTGTACTAAATTCAAATTTAGTAAATTTTTATAAAATATGTGATTAAAATATCGATAAAAGTTGTAGGATCCATAAAATATATGAATAACAATCACTTCTTCCTGTGGGTATCAATTCGGCTGGCTAGCTCGAGCGAACAATGGCTCGGTCCTAAGCCAGCCCGGCTAGCAACTCTATAGAACAAAGCCTAGGCTAGGGCCAAGCCCCATTTTAGGGTGTCGACCAGAGCCTGACCCATCCCTCATGGCTCGCCGACTTGTGTTACAGGCAATTTTCAACCCATGACAAGTAGAGCAGAAAAAATTTAAAAGCTAGGCAGCGCACAGCAGGTAGGCAAGCAACTACACATTGCCTATGTCAGGCAGCAAGTCGTTGACCGTAGGTATTAAAAAAATCGTCATTAAGACTCGAGCTGAAAGCTCGGATCGAGTTTAGATTTTTTTGCTGAGCTCTCTGCTCGGTTCGTACCAAAAACAGCTCGAACCATTTTTACTTGAGCCTAGCCCGAGTCTCGAGTTTCGGCTCCTTGACGTCCCTCTGCAAAGCTCGTGAGCTGGGGATAGATATCACCAAAAATATAAGTTGAGGACCAAGTTGACAGAAATCCCGTAGATTGGGCACCAGGACTTCAATTCTCCCTAATTTATTTAGGGAACTTTAGCTGTTTGGAATCTTCTGATTAATCAATATTGCCTTGAATATTGATAGGATTTGGTTAAATAAATAACGAATTTGTGTTGATTTTATAACTCGTACCGGTTTTATCAACGATTACATAACCGGCTTACTCGACGTTAGCTCATGCTCGAAATCTACTATGAATAGAAACTCTGCTTACTTTTGACACACTCATCATCTTCTCTTTTTGTTAATGTAATGCACATTAAGAAATGTTTTCCCTTACAATGGACTTATTTCAAAAGTTTGTTATGGCCTTGGTAAATTGACATCTCTAATTTTTAATTGAAGGATGTTTTCTTTTTGTGCTTTTTTTTTTTCATGATTAGCCATACAAAAAGTTCATTTACATGGACAAAGATTACGAATACAAAATAGATATTAAAGCTCTGTTGTTTAGAGCACAAAATCAGATAAGCACGGTCACGGCACTCATGTGTCATGCCTTGACGGGTATTTTTTGATATGCATTTTCTCCCTATGTGCTTGTGGACTGAGTTAAGGCTTTCAGAACTAGACTCTAGGATGTCAACTGCTACAGATATTCCTCCTAGGCTGAAATTCCTTGCCCAACATTCATCAACACTAACCCTCCTCGGACACAATATATCCATACACACTTTTCCAACACATCTCAAGGACTCAGACACGTCTTACATACCATATGACTTGTCCTAAAATCCGATGAGATAAAATAAAAATCTCTTGATGAATTTATTTAAATCCGCAATATGAAATTTTCAATCCGTGAATATTTAGATTTTATTTTGAATAGTTATACGAAGTACATGAACTAGTTACTCACATTTAAAAATAAATAAATAAATAATCATCTCCAAAATGAAAATCAAAGTTAAAAAAATACATATCCATTTTATTGTAAAATAAATAAATTTCAAAATAAAAGTATAACATATATTGAAAAGTCTCACTTAGAACACCATGATAACGCTTGAAAGTTCGTGGGACGTTGTAATCACCAATTCAAATTTTAGTGTTACCAAGTTTACATTCTAAATTACCAATTAGTTCGACCTCACATACGGGATTGACTAATTAAAGCAAACAAGTCACATTTAATTAGTTTCCAGATAATTAAACATACAATTTAATTAACCCTATGTTTGAATACCGCAATTTGTAATAAATTGTTATAAAGTAAAGAACACAAAATTTGATGACGAAGAAACCCAAAGTGGAAAAAAACTCCAAGACCAAGTCAATTACCTTCACTATAGACAGTTCAGGGAATATACAACAATTTCAACTCTTGTATCTACTAGGACCCGCTGTCACGGTCTCACGATCTACTATCATAGATACCTCTAGCCTGCTAGACGTCCTGATCTACTTCTTGTAGCCTCCTGCTACCGTAGATGCCTCTAGTCTCCTGCTAGACTTACTGATCTATCTCCTGCACCCCAATCTACTATCTCCTACAAGCCTCCTGGCCTTATGCTAAATGTCTCTCCAAGTGAAACACCAAGAACCGTCTGTTCTTGTGCTTGTAAATACGCTTCAATCCACCTCTTTCAATCCCCAAATGAGAGAGTCTATTTCTCAATGAATTAAGGAAGTTTGGTGTTTTGGATTACAAAGATGTAATATTTTTCCAAATTTGATTGCCGGATCACAAGAACGAATATGATGGATTCACCAATAAATTGCGCATTGAATCTCTTGAACAATGATATGAAAGTGTTATAGATATGAAGGCACAATGAGAAACCTTAGAATTTTCGTCTATGGCTCTGATATTCATAGATGGGAGCAAATAGGTGTCATAGGTTGTGTAAAACTTTTCAAATTGCCACCTAGGGTTTGGTCGGATACAAATGTCGTTCGAGCGAGTAGCTAGCGATAGGCAAGTGACAGTTAATCAGTCATCAGTATTTTTATCATAACTTTCTCTTTCGATGTCTGATTGAGGTGATTCAAAATAAGTTGAAAAGCTTTTTCAAAGGGTTACAAATCTTCTAAATAGCCTTGTCAAATTCCAATGTTTTCTATACGTAAAATGTGTTGCAAGTTACAACTGAGAATTTAGAACATAACTTGTGCAGCTCTTTGATATCCTTTAGACTTCTAATTGCATTCCAATGATCATATGTGATTTTATTGGATATCTTGAACTCCTTCAAGGACTATACTACTAACTCCAAAAAAAAATTGATTTTTACAACTTTTTTATAGTAATCCATTTGTCTAAAGAATTATCAAATATACTGGAAACCTAACAATCTCCCCCTTTGATATTTTGTGACAAAGCTATACAATAAAGTTAAGATAGTAAAAGCAAAAATCTAATCTATCTAAACTTTGTTTCTCGCATTTCTTGTTAAACTTGTTCCCTGAAATCAAAAACTCAAATACCTGGTGTAAAAACATGTGATACATGAAATGTAACAATTGAAGTTTATAATCATAATAAGCATGCTAGTTTGAGACGTGACATTAATGTCAATCCAAACACCAATCGAAACATTGACAACACAAAACATTAAAACTCAAAAAACTGTGCATTATGATATGGAATGCAATGCAATGCAAATTCTCTCCCTTACTGCAAATGCTCAACATTTTTATGCAGTATCAAAATATATCTATCTCTCTCCCAAACAATCCCTATACATAGCAATGCAAAATGTTAATCAATCAAACAGTGAAAAACAGTGCACACAAATCGCTCTATGCTCTTATTTTCTCTCCCTCAGTTACACATTTCTCTTCCCCCCTTTTATCACAAATGTTGAAGGAAATACTATCAGAATCAAACAGAGCAATAACATATAATAACTTAAAAATGTAATTGATAGCAAACACAAGTAAAATCAATAGACTATAAACCTTCCCACGTACTTAGTTCAGATCGGAATTGAGTAAAGAATACAAGTGACTCATGTGTGTAAAGTGTCACTAATCTAATGCAAACAGGACTCCAAATCTTGATTTTGTAAGAAGAGACGTGTCAATCATTGCCAATAAGCATATTCGCCTAATAATGAAAATCGAACCATGAAAGTGCAGTAGGACCTTTACTTTTTATTTTTTTATTTTTCTCCCCATTACTTTTAGCATTTATATTTTTCAATTGTTCATATTTTTTCAACTCATCATATTTTTCACATTTTCATATTTTCACATTTTTCAAGCTTATTTATTTTGCATCTAAAGTGTAGGTTCTTCTCCATTAGACGACCGAGATGACTCTTGTAACGAACCTTAGGCCGGTTAACCCAAGTCAATTGATTATAGGCGTCAGGTTTTAAAAGGCCCCACAAACTTAATTGCTTGAGTCAAATAGGCCCCAAAGAAGAACATTAAGATAATGAGCTTTTACATATGAGTCTTTTCGGTCTTAGATCTACTAAATTAGGTCAATTTGTGTTCGAAGTCACCCTATTAACATGTGACAACCATCCTAAATCTCACACACACGATAGAGTCTTACTAACAAATTCAAAGTGTGTGCAGTGCAGATAGTATATGAAGACACATATACTAAGTAATCCAAAGTGGCATAAACAAGTAATAGAAATTATTCTACAACTTATCAATTCAGCTCATACATGATCAAAACATTCAAATTCAAGAAACATATTTCATGTTGTAGAAGTGTTCCATAACCAACTATTTTTGTGTTTTTCAATTTTTTTAATCTTTTTATGTTTTTCATTTTTCCAAGAATGAATGCTCACACGCAAAAGAGAAAAAATAAGGTCAAGTACACAAAACAAACATAAAATATACATGCACCAAAGCAAACCAATGTAAATGCACATGTATGAAACCAAAAATAAAGAAAGAGAAATAAAAACATACAAGTGATGCATGTACAGATAATATG